CTCACCTCATTTTCGCAGCGTTTGGACCGTCGCTGTCATCTTCAATTTCCTGTCGTGCTCGCAAAACCTAGAACCAGTACTCTGTTTTCTATAGAAGTACAGAAATGGAGAGTAGAGTATACCTCAAGTGCCTCCCGGAACATCAACTTATTCTTTGGTATTCTCTTTTCTTCTGGTTCATAGAACCCGTACTCCCAGACGGGATCATTACGGTGCAACCATTCAGACTCACGCGTAGGCAAATCTCTGTGAAAAAATAAGCGATACCGAAAAACTTCGACCCTAATTTGTGCCGGGATTTTCCCCGCTAAATGGTGAAAAAATTCATCGAGTTGCTTATATGGTGTTTCTCAAATGCTTAAAACAACCTTGGTAATTTGTAGTAGCGATTGTCAAGCTTTGAACTCTCTAGCTCAGGACAACTGGAATCCTTTCGAGAAATTCTTATCAGTACGCACTCTTCAGCTTAAGCATATCGATAAAATCTCACCCCTTACAAACCGGTTACCGCTTTAATCAGGTAAAAACTTAGAGTTCCAAGAAAACCTTCGAAAAATTGGAGTTCGCTTTTAGGACTGGTATGCTAACAAGTTTTTCGATGATGACTCCATGCAATCACACCCATACGTCTCGGTGCTACTCCTTTTCCCAATGCCGAGTAACCAGTTGGAAGCGGGAAAACTCGAGGACTATTTATTGAGGATTTTTAGAAATTGTTAACTAAGGCAGCACCCTGGTCAAAGATTTATGACCCTCGAACAAAACTACACCGAACATTTGAGTAAGAACGAGCTTACTTTGTTGATGTCCATCGCTCCACAGGATCCGTCGATTTAATATTGAACTTGTTCATATTTTCTACCAGAGTTGATTCTTTTTTATTGACAAGCTAAAGGAGTAATATACTACAAAAAAGTCAACATGCCATAAACAATTCTCTCACTTGTAGCTTAAATAGCGTAAAGCCTCTACCACTATGAGTTTAAGACCAACACCTCTCCCCTAATTTCACCAAGTAGCCATAAAATCCAAATAAAAAAAAGTAAACAATTATGAAAAAATACCTCTCTGAGTTTTTCATCGCTCATAGCTTTTTGAAAGCGCTTGTCTTCTGTGGGATATCTCGGTGCCAGAACTTTCTCGCCTTGCTCAATTTTGTCTTGCTTTTTTATAGCTTTCTGTTGGAATTTGGCATCTTTTGTTCTCTTGCCAACAGCATTGAATATCTTCTTTATCATACCTAAGCATAAATTCAATGACAGCAATTGATGAATATTAATGGAAGCCGATTGAGGCATACACCGTCAAGAGTTCCTCCATAAAGTTTCAGTTTGAAAAGCATGTTGCGAACCCGAAAAAGAAGAGCACGATCCCTTATATGCTTCACAGTTTATTAACAAAAGTAGTTATTTACCATCACCAGGAAAGGTTCAGAAAAGGTATTGCAAAGAATCAACCCGATACGAGAGGAAAATCTCTAGGTGAACTGATTTAGAATTATCATACACGTGCAATTGAGAGCACTGAGTGCACTAACAGGCACAGCGCGGGGACTTACGGACACTTTGAAGCTGGTGGTTCTACTCACCATCAGGAATGATATGTTCCTGGTTAAGATATGGCATTTGAAAGTTTCATTTGGGTCATAATGTAATAGCTAAGGGTGAGATTCGGCATTGATGGCATTTAATGTCCGCTTTTGGTTTGGGCGGTGGTGTAGTGGCAAGTGGCACTATCTCACACGTACGGTCAGGGGTTCGAATCCCGGATCGATACCCGCCTAGGCCAACCAAACCTTCCATCCCTCCGGGGTCGTTTAATTGGTACCAGATCTGTCTGGCAGGATAAAAGCACTGACTTGAACACTCGGCTGGCCACCGCAAGTCATTGTATAGGCCACATACGCACTCATTACGATTCTGAATGAAAGTCGAGGACGGGAGCGCATCCCTCAGACGGGAATGATTAGCGCCAAAAACTTTATTCTTTATCCTCTTTTGATTTAACTCGAAATGAGTTCGAATGAATTCTATGGGTTCTAGGGGTGAGCAGCCTAGTGAAGCACAACTAATTCTGCACAGAAAACGAATTTCATCGCAGAACGCAGAAATCGGATTGCTTGGTCACTCATAGGCTGCTTTCATAATTCGACGTGCGTGCCGGCACGCACGTCGAAGTATGAAAGCAGCCATACACGGTTGTGGGCGAGCAATTTACTTCCTTTTCCTCTTCACTCATTTCTTTCCCCAGTTTTCTAAAATTTAGCAGTAATCGACGTCCATTACGCAACAAGATTAAACGCTACAAAAGACTAATATGGGAAATATTTATTGTCTAATACATACAAGTACAGCTCATCTAACATAGTAGATGAATAAAACATACAAATGCCCGTGTGATTAACTAATGATAGAAATTTACATATGTCGCAACGACAACAATTCGGAATCGAACAATTAATCGCATTAACTTTAATATGTAAGAATACAGTACAGACTTATTTACATGATTACTATAAAAAAAGTCTAATTAGTTCTATTCAACTTGATTGTCGGCAACCTTCTGATCTAAAGTAATACTAATCTGATGCCGGCCGATTCTCCTACAACAGTAAGCGATTTCCGCTGTAAAACTACACAGCAACACTAGAAACCTTGAAGAAAAGTGCAAATGCGAGCTAATTTAGCTCAACATTGAGAAGATACACGACTCAATCACGGAGTGACTTCGAAAAGCTTACTGTCACAAAGTTTTCCATTATATGGTAAATGACTTGGTCGTTAATGAAGAATAAGATTTCGAAAAGTTAAAGGAAGCTTGTAAGATAGTATCACTTCCTACCAATGATATCAATTTCTCTGGCATCCTCACATAGAGCATGGGATATTTGAGCTTCAACTTTTTCTACTGCCGGCCTAATGGCGTCCGATCTAAACATTACACTCTTAGATGTTTGCTAGTGAACTTTACTTCAAAATCAAAACGTCTGAGTAATTTTCGAAAGATTGTATTAAAGAAAGCGATTCATCTTCAATCTCCAAGATCTACCCGTAGTAATCCTTTCCCCATCGACCACATCCCTACGTATTAGGTTTTAAATTTCAGAAGATGAATCATCGATACAGACTTGTTGAAATAGTTAATACACTAACTTCAACAGCGTTGCACTAACTTGCGCATAATCATTCAGCAGCTCACTGTCAATGCTAAAAACATAGTCTAATGTAATGCTTAATTATGAATTAAAATCGATCAAAGATATTGCAAAAAGGCAAAAAGGAGAAAGGGTAAAGCAGTAGTTTAGCTTTTTTTCTAAGCTTTTCAAAACATCCAGAGCAGAGGTGGGACATATGGTGCAAAACAACGGGATACAGTAGCCGTCTCTGTCGCTTCACCTCCGTTCATAGTAACGTAAACGCGGTATAACCAGCAATGCACTTGAGCTAAACTAGGAGTGGTCCCCTTCCTCATGCAATGGAGGCAAGAATCTTTAAGACAAGAAGTCAAGATGACTTCTTGCTAATATAAGGAAGAGCAGCAACTTCAACAATACAAGTCAGAGCTGATTTCGTAAGAAATCCCATCCTGGATGGTCACAAGGGTCAGGGTCACTTTGAGGAGAAGCCCTAGCCCCTTTAGATTCAACGACAAGTAGTTTCCACTGGAATTCACAATAGAAGTGCCAACAGAAGATAAGCATGCATGCTGGTTTGAATTGAACAATGGTGAGACAACATAAATAAAACGCGCAACAACAGCCTTATTGTGAAAGCCCAAAGATTATAAGCTCGGTTATCAGAGGTGATTTTTATATGGAGATCAATAAAATGAAAGGATAAAGAATGAAAGCCTAATATGAAAGAAAGGAATTCTGTCTAACTACAATAAATATGAGAGACTAAAAATTACATTGAACTCCTGGAAGCTGGATGTTCCTCCTGCTCGGTACCGACTTGTGTCTTGTATGAAAGGTAAGTATTCCAGAAAAAGGCAACAAGTTGAACAACAATCACACGCATATTCAAAGGAATCAAGTAGAAGTTCATAAGTTGAACGGCTGGCCAGATCTAAAGGGACGATTATTGGTGTCCGTTAAGTAAACCAATAAACACAAAAAGTGAAAAACCGCAAGGCGAGTACCTTCAAACTTGTTGAGTAGATCGTCCACCAATCTTCCTTCATCCGTTTCCAAGAATTTTCTATTCCAACACCTTCTAACAATCGCAGGTTGAACAAAATTATTGCATTAAAGACTGGTGCGAATGCTAACTGCAAATGGTTCCTCTTTTCATTTCACAGAAGAAACGAATGGAAAAAAAGTCCGAAAAATAAAATATACCTGATCAATAGCCATACGTTTCAGGGGATCGAGTTTAGGATTACCGTTTACTTTCTCCAGCACTCTGAACCATCGATTCAGCGTCGGCGTCTGTAAGCAGATTTTTTCAAACAAAACGTTTCATATAACTAACCAGTTAGGCAAGTTTAACGAAACTGCGTACAAATTCGTCATTCAGAAAACCTACAATGAAAAATGATCCTAATACGAAAAATCTGCCGGTCCTGAGAAAGTCATAGGTCTCCCTGTTCCTCCTCTCGACCACAAGTTGACAACAAGCATCTCCAGCACCACATATTACTCCTTGAACGAAAGAGTGTTAAAAGTAAATTCAAAAGAAATTATGGAAAAAAAGTTAGTACATACGATCTACGGAAGGCGCATATTCAGCGGAACAAAAAGTATTTATTAAATGTACTAGGTTACAACAGTAATGAAGTATGAGAAGGGCAGAAACTATGGAAGGCCACATTTTCTCTGGTCTTTTTCTTGAATGATGATCGGTCAACAAGGACTTTACATTGTGGTCAAGATGAAGCATTGAGAGTTGGTATCCTTGATTAACTAAACTCCCCCTACCTTCCCTCTACTTATCGCAGAGGTACGAGCAGCCCTCCATTGACTTAGGTTCTTTCGCCACTTCCCTCCTGCCCCCGTCCTTTTAGAAGTGCAATAATGCTGGCATTACCGTCCTTTTAGAAGTGCAATAATGCTGGCATTATGAAATTGCTTAGTAGCTGCACACTGTGAGCTGTTGTGTGGGCACATTGCCAACCCCGAGCCCCACCCATTTATTTCATTATGTTACACCGTTTAGGTTGGGCAATCTTTCTATGTGTCGAGAATAAACGTGATTTTGAAGGGTTCCGGTTTGTTTATCACTCCTCGCTTTTTCCCAAGTTACTCATTAAACGGTGTCAAATACAGCCTCCCCTTCCTTGGAATAATTTCCTAAAGGTGCCGAGGTTTAGAAGTAGCCGTACATAGCGAATTTCCTAAATGATTTTGTAGGCGAAATTCTTTAGATCATTTCCTTAGGCTCTACAGACCAGGGAATTTTTATTCAACCAAACACTGAGCAACCAAAAAAACTGGCAATCGAAACGGGAAGTCGAACAGAGGAATGACGCCCTACTGTGGGCTTGACTAGAAAGGAGCCGATGAATTCCGGATACGGGACGCAAGAACTATGCCCTGTGTTCACGGCTGACGTCGACAAACTCGAACGTCTCACAAAAAGCCTGATTGGAGAATAGTGTTTGACATTTATGACCCCTTCCTCACGAAGATTCTCTGATATGAAGAAACACCTCTTCAAAAGCATGCGGCACAAGAGATAATTTTTTTTCTACCAGAGATAAACCTCACGTGCCGCGCCCATTATGGCATTTACACGATTCATAAACTACTAAACGCCTCAATATTGTGACGTTGACTAGGGATGTAAGAGCGGGTACAAAATTCACTCCAACATAAACTCCAGTTAAGGAAATCGAAGTGAAATATAAATGAGACACCCTTAATTGAAGATTTGTGATTACTAATGTTCACTGAACACTCGTTGGTAGTTTGAGTGTAAAGTTAAACATTGCATTTATAATCGCCACTTGAACCTTTTAGGAGATACGCTGGACCCGGGCCAACTATAACTGGTTCATGATCGCCCTTGACATGGAGTTACTTCTTCATCAGATCAATTGCTGATAATGTTTCTGTCAGAAAATGATGTAGTGAGCCTGCATCTACCAGTCTTGATTGAAAAGGTAGAGATTGCGAATTGAGAGGGCTGTAATATCGGCGACTCGAAGCGATTTATCTTAGTTACAAGGTGAGATGATCTTCATTCAAAGTGAGACGCAGAAACATAGGGTCATGAATTGCAAAAGCTTTTCAACTTAAGAATGCTTTTCGGAGTAGGAATTGTCCCAGTGTAGGGAGCCCACAGTGCGGAAATATTTCTGTTGAGCGGTCTTGGTTCCACTTAAATTACAGTAATAAGATTTTTGGTGGAGCAAAGTGAACAGAGTCTCGCAATCTGCGTGAGAGGATTGCTAATTGAGGGAAATATAGAAGCTAATTAGGTATTTTATCCATACTTTTACTCAAAGTAATGATGAGCATGCTCAATAACCGCTAGAAGCTCTGGACAAGTTATGAGACTCAGTTTGTAAGCCATCTATTACTTATGTTCGACTACATCATTCCGATTTTCCGAATGAAACCGAAAGTAGCCGAAACATCCAACTCTCAGAAAAGTCGAGCAAAAATCTTATTCCACGTGTAAACAAGGAGGGTCCCCGCCTGCAAGATAAGAGCTTTGTTTACACTGGGCGATCGCTATTCGTACCGCCTCTGCAGAACCCTTCGAAAAGTGCTGATAAAAGTGCAGCCGATTTTCAGAACAAATTCGGACGACCCACTAATTATTAGCTGAAGAAGTATGGGATAATGAAAAGCATTCCAAACAAAAATCTGGTACTTGAATAAAACGTACCTGTGGCTACAACCTGAGTGAGAAGAGGTCGTTTGTTCAGAGATCTTTGAAATAATCGCAACATTGGCAGAAAGTAACTAAAAAAATCATTAATAGGTAAGATTCAATGCCCGGAGAGTTTCCAAAGCAGAGAGTAGGATCACCGGCTGAGGAACTCACACTCGAAAGAATGAGGAACATAGCGAAGGATCATATCAGATCATATAACCGTCTGTCGTTAACGTCTAGTCTTATCGATGAACATACATATGAGAAGAACATACATATGAGAAAAAATTCTCGCGTGACCGCGCAAGATAAAGATCGCACAAGAATGGGAAAAAGATTGTGGTTTTCAAGCTTATCACTAGGACAACGTGCTTTCAAAAAAAANAAAAAAAATTCAAAGAAAGTCCATCTCAAAGAAAAACATTTTTATAGAACCTGAGTCCGCTTTAAGTTCGAGAAAAAGCCATGAAGGAAAAGAATGAAGTGCAAAGAGGTGGCGAATTGTGACTTGTAAGAAAAAGAATTTATTGCCACACGCGTGCACTCTTAAACTCAAATCTTTTTAAGACGACATTAATGTCCAAGACTACGCAGTGAGTAAGTGCACCATTTACACCTCGCATTATCAGAGGATCACAGTTCAACGCTCTGTGAATGGAATCTCGTAATCAGCCTAGTTAGAGAGGTAGAATTAAAGAGGTAGAATCTAAACATGATGCTCGATTGCCCACTCGAGAAAGTTAAGCTTTTAGATTCTTCTAGATTTGCGAACCGAAGAGATTTGTTGTCTAGCTCAAAGACCACACCCTCCACAGTGGTCTTTGATTTCTCAAAAAACAGACAAATATTCTAGTAAACAAGCATAAGAAAAACATAAGACATAAACTCTGCGATCCAAAAACAAACTAGAAGTTACTAAACCTTAAACCCTATTTCTGACGTAAAAACGGGCCACTACTCAGTGAGAGTGGGGGAAAGTTTATAACAAGTCTTCATACTAATTCCACTTTCCGTGATCGGAATCTCGTGATCAACTTTGCTTGGTAGGCCTCCAAGCAAGAGGTTTGTAGGAAAAAGATGGGCACATGAACTTTTTAAACTTGTGAACTAAAGAAATTTATTGCTTTTCTCAAAGGGCACACCCGCGATTTTCGCTTTCTTCAGGAAAAGGATGGACCTTGTAGCGAACAATTCCCAAGTAGGAAGGGAATCTCCAATCTCCCGAACGCTATATTCTAAAACCACTCTAGACAATTAACAACACATCAAATTTCATGTAAGACATTAGAATAAATCTCGACGTGGTGAAACGGAGGATGAGAAACATAGAGAACCAGAAATCACCGCTCCCCTACTGGCTGAGTGATTATCAATGGTTATTTTTAAAAATTCACTTATATATACCCGGAGAACTTTGCTCCTAAATAGAATGGACTAGAAGAGACCAAAAACTGACATCACCGGTTACTATTTCGACTGCAGACCGACTGATTCTGTTCAACAACCGCTGCAAACACCCGCCCATATGACGAGGCCTTCACGTGAATTCCAACCAACGAAAACACCGGTGTTTGATGTTTCACATGATCCCTTGGGCGGTCTCCTCGGGAGGTTACCCTCACTGAGAAACAGTTTGCAAGTGGTTTTCAAAATGGTGAAAAATGAATAAAAAATCGTCTGAACGCCGGCACAGAGTAGTTAATGATAAACGGTCAGACAACATTAAAACACAATTAAATGTATATGGGAGAGATAAGCCAAATTGACGTAAACCCACGGAAACGTTCGATGTACTGACTGATCGAATCAGTGAACGTTCACAGACATAACATGAATCGACCAAACTTTCTTATCTAAATATGCGACATATGCTCTCCCCCCTTCCTGAAGATTCCACCAGACAGAGTAGACATGACATTACTCAACCCAATCTTCTTATCTAAACACGTGACATATGTCTTCTTCTTCCTGAACATTCCACTGGTCAATATTTTGGATTCCGAATGAAATCAATTTCTAAAAGTCGAGGGATGCAAGAGCACGTTTTTGTGCCTCATGTTGTTTACATTTGAGCTAGACAACAATCGCCTGGGAACCAAAGAGCATCTGATCGATGAAGTAGGAGATAGACAGGAGTGTAAACAAGAAACACGGCAGTGTCGCGATGCCAACCGGTCAGAGAAATGATGAGAGATTTTGCGCTCGCTGCGAGGTGGTCCAGAACAGCCTATGATTAGTGGAGCACGGTAACTGCCAGAAAGATGGATATGCACCCGTAGACAAGAGTTAAACTCTGAAACTTGGACCATAGTACCATGCATAGTTACATTCATTCGGGACGAAACATTCAAGCAATCCCGGATGGACGCGGCAAAATGCGCGAGGAAATTCGTGGTGATTTGAACGACTCTCTTGACTATCATTGGGGCACAGGTTTTAAGTATATTGGATGAGTAGGGCCAGCTGATGTT